GTGGTTATTATTAAAATTACCATGTTTGGAAGCGGTTTATCCTTAAGTACTGGAGTTTACCAAGAACAGTGACCTTGTCATTAATGCAAACTGGTTACTGGCCTAAGATGACCTCGGGTCTTACCCAGGGAGACAGCTCTTATATAAGGTAGGAAAGGTGGGTTTCTCCCCATAGTTCATCAGCCTCCGCACAAAGTTTCTCCCCATAGTATACCAACCTCCTCATGCATCAAAATGCCAGATGTTGAGGCCAGATTGCCCAGAATATTCTTCCCCTACCAGCCATTATGTTCTTTGGTAACTCTCTTTCAACATTTTTTTACAAATAGGAAGATAAAGAAGCTGTGATTGATGTGATTGATACCCTGGACACCGTGCTTAGGGTTACCACTGGAGTTATCTCCACTCTCCAGGTGAGCATTTCAAAAGGGTGGGTTATCCTATTGGCTGGAGTGGCTTCAAGGTTTTTCTCTGGATCTCCAAGATCCTTGTCCCTTTATGCCAGCCTAGAACAAACTACTTTTGACACTCAAGGAGCAGAAATCCTATTGTGCTTTTGCCAAGTTTAACCTAACTGCCATGTGGAGGGTTTTTTTTAATGATGGTTAAAAACACATTCATTCACTTTGTCAGGCTAGCTAGCATCTGATATTCATGATTTCTTCTCACCGCTCTTTTATTCATTTGTCTAGATCAACAGGGATGCCATGGAAAGAGCCCTGAGCCCTGAGATGTTGTCTACAGATCTTGCTTACTATTTGGTGCGCAAAGGAGTGAGTATCCAAGCTCGTAGGGAACAGAATCACTCATATCTATGTGCCAAAAGTATAATTCCAATGGCACAGGATGTAGCTGGGCAAGAAATTGGCTGGGCATCCCGTTCTTACCACCCTGAACCAATCTTAGAGAAAACCCCTGTGCCTAAGGGATTGCTGGTTATGCTGACAACTCGGTAGCCTGCATCCAGTAATTTATTTATTTTATTTAATGGATTTATAGGGCCGCCCAACTCAAACACTGTGCCAGCTGGGACCTAACAGCTTTTAGAAATGGTGCTCCAACTGGGTTTTGCATTTCCTGTCTGTGCCATATTCTGTAGTCCAGGAATGGTTGGAAATGTCAGCACAGAGGTGGCAGCTTAAGAACACTGGGGAACTTTTGAGGATAAAGATTAGACCGAAAAATCTCCAAGCCTTCTGATTTTGTTCTCCGTGTATTCCAGGTGCCGTTCAGGCAAGCCCACACTGTTGTGGGGAAGGCAGTCCGCTTAGCTGAGAGCAAAGGAATGACTCTTAGCCATTTATCCTTGGAAGACCTGAAGGGAATTCAGTATGTATCGTGCTCTGGGAGCCTTTAAAGATTCCTCTTTAGTAGATACAGAATGATGTATGGTTTTAACTTTTGGGAACAAGGAAGCCATGTTTCTACCTCTTATAGCTATGCATATGGGGATAAGTCACATTTATGGAATGCTAAAGACTTTTCATGGATATGGAGTTGCTATCATCTATTTAGTGACCCTCTGAGACCCCACAATTAATTCCATATCTTTTTTCCAGGGAAGGGGAAAAGACAGTCTGAAATTATCCTCTGAACTAGTAGCACAACCTAATTGGCAGAAGAGTAATGATGAAAACTGTGTCATAAGTAACTAGGATCATTAAGGGGAGAAAGTAAGCAATCTTTGGTAGTGAATGCTGAAGTGGTAGAGGGTTTAGATCAGGATTTCTCAACCTTGGCAGCTTTCAGTTGTGTGGACTTCAATTCCCAGAATTCTGGGCGTTGAAGTCCACCCATCTGAAAGCTGCCAAGATTGAGAAACCCTGGTTTAGATCAACTACCAGGATCCACATTCAAATTCAAGTTCACTGAAAGGCCCATTATCTATCAGCCTAACCTACCTCACAGGGTTGTTCTGAGGAATCATGTATACTATCTTGTGTTGCCAGGCTGAGGGCCACATTTGGCTTTTTAGCTGCATGCTAAGGGCTGCAATCCAAAAAATCGGTGAAGCCAGGACAAAAACCTGACTTCGGTTTCATTTTATTTGCTCTGAAACTTGGATAAAGTTATTACTTAAAAATTACAAATTAGTGACCACTTTGGGATGAGCTGAGGAGACTGTACTTTGAGAGGCTGCAGGAGATTCTAGGACAGTTTTTCAACCTTAGCAACTTTAAGAAGTGTGGACTCCAGCTGCCAGAATTCCCCTGCCAGCATGCTAGCTGGGGAATTCTGGGAGCTGGAGTCCACACATCTTAACGTGGCTAAGGTTGAAAAACTGTGTCCTAGAATGTGAAGTTGTATACCTCTGCTTTACAGGTTGGGTAGGATGTTGGTCCACCTGCCTTGCTAATAGCAATCTGTTCATTCTGTAAGAATCTAGTAGGAGCCATTGAAGATGAAAGCTGTTCTTATTTGCAGAGCTCCTGCGCTGTGTTTCTTGGCCACTTAGAATGTGTGACAAACAGAAGCAACCCAACAGTTGGCTTTTATTGCTAGGTTTAAAAGGCACTCTTTCTGTAACATCTGACTGAAGGTTCTTCTTGTTGCTCCCTCCAGCCCCCTGATGGCAAGTGATGTTTCACAAGTTTTCAACCACCAGCATAGCGTGGAGCAGTACACTTCCCCTGGAGGGACCGCCAGGAGCTGCATCAGTGCCCAGATTGAACATTTGAAGGAGCTGCTGAAGAGACAGAAAGATTAAGCTTTGAGTGTGTGGATATAGTGTCCCGTTGCTGCAGGTTTCTGGTTAGCATGTTTAATCATAAGATAATAAATACAGTGGCATATTGGATTTCAGGAAAAACAGTGTATGCTTGTTTTCTCACTTCAGGTCAGATGTTTCCACCAGGAAAGATTTATTTAGTTGTTTATTTCAATCAATTTATACAGCCATCCATCTCACAACAGTGACTCTGGGCAGCTAACATAAAATTAAAACTCAGTAGAGAACAACCCACTAACAAATACACATGGCAGTCAAGGACAACAGTAATCATTACAACAGGGGGAAGGGGGAATGATACAGTATACTGTTTCATAAATTGAACAATGGGCTGGGTTGGCACAATACACTAAAATAAATGGGGAAGACACAATAAGAGTCCCATCTTTGCTCATCAAGATACAAGAAGACATACATGGAGTTCAAGACTGAGAACCACCAGCAGCAATATCCTGCTTGACAAAGGTGTCTCATACGGGTTCATAGAAGACAAAGTACTTACCAGCAGTCAAGGTTCATGGGGCAAAGGAATGGGCATCTTCAGGGCCAAGGTTTCCATGAAGGCTTTCACAGTTCAAAGCAAGTCAGCCTGATTCCTAAAACCAAGGGAGTCTCATACCAGGTGTTTCCCGACACAACCACCCATTCCTCCATCTTTCTTCCTTGTGGCTTTCTATCTGGAGATGTCAGTATTCCATATGCTAGTAGTTAGAGCTCTGGTTCAGGGTTGGTGGCTTTGGGTGTAGAATCAGTAAAGGTGATTTTGCCTTTCTTCTGTTGTCTGGTAGATATGTCCAAAAGCTTCCATTCCTCCTCCAGACTGCCAATCTGGCCCTTTCAGGAATACATCTGTGATTCTCCAGAAGTGAACCCGCCAAGCCAGAAGTATTTCTGGCAGTCCAAATGTGGGTCCAGCACCAAAACCAAGTTGTTTCATCTCAGCTGCCCAGCTCTCTGTGTCTGAACCACTCTGTATTGTTCCTCCTCCTTGTCTGAAATTGATGATACACCCCAGGGCACAAAAAAAGCAGAATAATAAGTAAAACTTGAACAGTTTACTAAACGGCAAGGAGATTCAAACATTCAACAGCCAACTGGACAGCAGTGCATTACTGTATGTAGCTCTGCAGAAGTTTTAGAAATTTCTTGTAGTGGACTCTTCTCATAGTGCTAAATAGGCTGAAATTTTTATGAGAAGCGAATTCATAAAAGAGAAAATAACAGCTTACTGTTTAAAGAAAAAAATACTTGAAAGGCTGCACCATCCACATTTACACTTGGCTGTTTCACCATAATTTGCATAAGCTACAACTGGACAAGTTCACATCGTGCACTGTGGCTTATGCAGGCAGCCCCAGGGCCCCTCCAAAAGTTGCCATGAAATTATAATGTTAATAGGACACTAAATACAAGAGGAATAATTGCATTAACCCGAATGAGTTGAAATTCAAATCAAACTTGTCACAATGAAAGGCAGCCCCCGGACAATTCTGGCTACTCTCAAAAAAAGCTAAGCAGGATCGAACCTCATTCAGAAGTATCTGAATGGGAGACCACCAAGAAATGTGATGGGGGAGTAAAAAAAGAAAACCTCTCTGGAAGGAGACAACAGCAAAGCACTTCCATATTATTGCTAGGACAATTAATTACACTGTCACCAGAAGTCAAGCTTGAACTCCAGGGATTTTATCCTTCTTCAAATCAATTTCATTTTTGTCTTAGCTCCGCCCACTTCTCTGCCCAGGCCCCGCCCTGGATTTCCACTCAATATACTCTGCTAATGACGTGTGAAGTCTCCCCCTTGGACACAGCTGCCATGCACATTTACACGTGTTCAAATGGCCCCGGATGTCAAAAGCGAGGTGGCCCTCAGCCTGAAAAAGCTGCGCCCCTCTCCTACTGAAACCGGCTGCGATCTCCGTTAGATCCGTAAATAACACTCCAGTTTTAGGAACACCTGGAAGAGAATGCTTGTGGCAGGAGCTTTTGTGGACTACAGTACCCCATTTAATCTGATGTAGCAATTAAAGGTTAAAAAGCAATCCCTGAAAGCTTCTGCTACAATATATGAGTACCTAAAGCCGCCACCCACTGAAAGGCGTCTGTTTGCATTACTTGCAACATCCTGACTTGGCTCCAGCATTTGAATGCCGCATCTTAGGAAAGCCCGGGCTGCCCTCAACAAAGATGGCGGCCGCCGTCCTCGCGCACGGTGCCGTGTCACGTGCCTCATCCATTGCGACCATCAGCTGACCTGAGCATCAGCTGACGATCATTCCAGGCTCAGCAGAGCACGGGCAGAGCGCTGCGGGAGCATGAGATTACCGCTTTGTGCTTTCTGTCTCGTGCTGGGATGGTGCCCGGCTGGAGCCCTGGACGGTGGGATGCTCTACCCCCGGGAGTCATCCTCCAGGGAGCTGAAGGATCTCAGCGGCCTCTGGAGCTTCCGGGCAGACTGGTCAGAGCAAAGGGATGCAGGATTCGTGGAGCAGTGGTACAAACGGCCACTCCAGCAGGTCTGGGGCAGCTAAAGCATGGGGCGTGTCTGTCACCCGTCTGAACAGTGCTAGGATGGTGCTAGCAGTCCCGAAACCACACATGCAGGTCCCTGGGCGTGGGTGCAGTTTGGTAAATAAATGTGCAGAGTGTTTTTGCACCTTGAAGCTAATAGTTTTTCTAATGGCATAAACTGAACTTAATGCTATTAACGGTGCTTTGCCAACCATGCTTTTTGCACGCTGGTCATTACCATGAAGTGTATTTTTTGCATTTAATTTCCTTCTGACCTGACAGGTAGTTTTTCTTTCCTTCACCCATGTGTCTGTGTGCATCCATGTTGGTGCATTTGTGTGAATGTGGGTGCATGAGCCTTCCAGCATCTGATGAAACAAGTGCTGTTTTGAGGAAGTGTGCGCTGCAATACATGTTTTAGTCTTCAACGTGGCACTAAGCTGCTGATGATGGCGTTTTGTGATTACCACTCTTAACAGGAAGTGATAAAAAGAGAAGCAAGTAAGAGAGGAACTTTTGCGCTATCTGGGCAAAACTAAAATAAAATCAGAATTACAACTAAAGCCACATAGTGATTAACCACCTTCATCAATGAAATAATTAGTTAAAATGATAACAAACAGAATATCCAGAAGGAAAGAGAGGAGGGAGAATCATGCTTTAAAGTAAAATAAAAATAAAGCTCGTTTCGATAATAAGGCATCTTGATCCTTTCCTTACTTAAAGATTAATCCATTTTTATTTTATTCTTGTCTAACAAGCACATCAGAACTTCCCAACTGGATCAGCAAAGTGTCCATCTAGTTCAACACCCCAGCCTCCTTGAGTCTTTCTGATTTGGTAGTCTTATGAACCTAAATTATTATTATGGTTGGTTGCACAGTCAGCCAGATGTTCAGATTGGATTTGGCATTTTTATCCGCCTATTGAGTCCTTCCGAAGGACCTGGGATAGGCAGATGTGGTTGTTTGATGGTGTTAAAGGTATCGATGCAGGATGTAAGTTGCTCCGAGTAAAGCTGCCTTTTGCAATTGACTGATGGTTATTATTATTGTTGTTGTTGTTGTTCCATGGAATGGGAAACCCATAAGTAGTTAATAAAAACTGGAATGGTCCTCCTTTGTTTCTTGCCCCAGCATATGGTAACTCTGCTTCTGAACATGCATTTAAGTTGCCTTAGCTTGTAGCAGTTAGCAGTTCCATCCTCTGTGGATCTGCAAAAAGTATGTTGTGATCTTTGGAGGGGCCAAATACAATCCAAGTAAGCTCTGGCTGTCAGCATCCTAATTTATGATGGAAAAGGAAAATTCAGAACATCCAAAAATGGGCAGGGTTTCTACATACCATATGAAGGGGGAAAAAATTGATGTGTGAAGTAAAGGGTGACTTTGCTTTTCCAATGAGCAGGAAGCAACCTTGGAGAGCTGAGCCAGGAAACAAAAAGGACATTTGATCTGGAAATTAAGGAGAATAGCTTTGGAAATCTACTCAATGTCTGATGCTTACTAGGAAACAGCAATAAAAGTTTGGCTTCATAGGATAAGTGAAGCTAAAATGAGAGTCTGTGCCTGGACTCATAGATCAAACCATTTTTATCTGTAACCCCCAAGAAAGGACAAAATGAGAAGCCATATGAAATTGTATTATGTAAATAAAACAGTAATTGTCAGTGGTTTAAACATGGTTTACTGAATAAGCTAGGTTCATATTACACGCTAAGCTGTAAACCACAATGTCAGAATACTTTGGCTGGATTCACACAATACGTAAAAACAAAATGACACAATGGTTTATTGGCCTGAATTTGGAATAAATAAATTTGGTCTGAACCAAATTTATATTATGATGATGACCTGCGGACTGTTCTTTTGTTTTAGCTATAGGCTGGGATCTGTTGTCTCATTAAGCTGAAACCAGACTAACTATATTACAGTTCAGTACTATGTGCAAACTCAGCCCAGGCTTTGCTGTCGGGGACCAATTGCTGGACAGCCATGTATGAGAGTTGTATGAAACACTTCTTGGTGTTTCTGAAGAATCTAGCTGACCGCTATATAAAACAGAATATTCATCAGGGTGGACCATTTTCTTGGTCAAGCGCAAGTTTTCCTATGTTCTCATGGAAATGAAAATTTTGTACCAGAGATGGAAAATCTTTAACACTTTTTTTTTTTTTGCAATATTCACTGATTGTAATATTGAAAATAGACCCACACTCTACCTTGGGGTGCCTAATTTTTAAGACAGGCCAATGGCCGCATTAACTTTTGAGTATGTCTATCCCATTCCTTTAAATTTTTATGCCAGGAGAAAAGAAAAAGGACTGAAGTTCCAGCATGTCAGTTAGTTTGCAATAAAAGTGACAGATTGCTGATGTTATTGGATTACTGCTATGTTTTTGAAATCAATTGCTTTCTTAGTATTCATAGTATTTTTTTACTATAAAATGTGATAACCTGTGGGCTCAAGAGCAATATACACATTTTAAAATAAATAAAAGTAAAGCAGTAGATAAAACAGCTGGACATACAATTTGGATGGTTGAAGAATATTAAATCTGGATGTTGGATGTTTAGTAAGACAATCTGTGTCTGGGCATAAATGTATTCATAATTTAAATTCATAATTTAAGAGTATTAATTTCAAGCAGCAGCAGCAGCCACCACAAAAACATAAACCACCAAATCAAAAAGGGTCAAGGCGTCTTTCACCCTGAACTACCGACCATGTTTCAGCCCCACTAGGTAGACCAGACCAGGAAATCAACCCCAGGAAGGCTAAAACTATTTTTATTGAGACTGGCAATAATCACAAAATCTTGCAAGTCTGAATTTGCTGTACCTCCCCTTCCTTCTTGTTCTCCAGTGATTTAGGGAGGTGTCTGCTTGACTGCTTCCAAATGTTATTTTTTTGCCCTGGACTTAAAAAAAAAATTGCAGGTAATTGTTCTTGCATATTTCCATCAAGGTCATCTTCCTTCCTCTCTACACCATGCTACAAACAAAAGTGAAATGCAAATGATTGTTTTGTTTATAGCTCTTATTTATATTTTAGGCTATTTCAAATAGTCATCATGTAACAAATTGACTGTGAAAGCAAACCTTTTGCTGCTACTGGCTATGTGGACCCCCATGTCATTTTCTGGGCAAAAATATGGAAGTGGTTTATCCTTGCTTTCTTCTGAAAGTTTTTTTCAAGTTCATAAGCTTTGAATTCCTGGACTGGCTCCCATACAACTACTAACCAGGCCCAGCTCTGCATAGGATCAGCAAGGTGTTGACACTTGCAGGGATCAAGTAAAAAAATTGTTATTGGCCTTTGGTGTCTTCTTCTGTTGTTAAGATTGCCACTTGTTATTCTGACTATGCTTCTGTGTCTTTAATAGCAGGCAAACCCATAGATATTTAGAAGGTTCCTATTTATCCTACCATTCTTACTTTTATCCTACCATTCTTACTTTGTGCTAGGAGATGTTTGATTCCACATATCTCTGTGTATCTGGCAGTCTCAAGGAACTAGAGTCAGAAAAATATTGGCAGTCTTAAGGCAGAGCTCACCCAAACTGGAAAACGGTTTCACCCATAAATATTTTCAATCTTTTCAGACAGGGCCAGTAATGGACATGCCAGTCCCTGCCAGCTTCAATGAAATAACTCAAGATCCAAAGTTGTGGAAATATACTGGCTGGGTATGGTATGAGAAGGAGGTGCTTCCGCCAGCCCACTGGCTCTTGAGAGATCCTGGGACTCGTATTGTGCTCCGAATTGGCAGTGCACACTATTACTCCATTGTGGTGAGTACTGAGGGCATCTTCTTCTTGTTAGCAGGGTGGGTGCTCAAAACTCTGGAATTGGATGCCATCACTAATGACCCAGGTAGGAACTTATAAGAACTCAAAGAAACAATTACTGACGGAGAATCCTGGTGAAATGATGTCTGTCACAAAGAATGAGAAGTGACTGAACAACTGAACAACAATAGCAGCAACTGTAGCTTACATCTCCATCTCCTCTATCTGACTAGCTACGGAGCTTTTCCTAATGTTGGTTGACAAGGTCTAAACTGGCTGGGAGGTGATTCTCTACTGCCACCTAAGGGCTACAAAGCAAACTTACTTGGTCCAACTTGCTGGAGGAGTACAGGAATACTGTAATCCAGCTAAGAATACCCTCCATTCATGGTATAAACTTCAAAGTAAGCCCAAAGTTATGTTTTCTCAGTTCACACCATGCATTAAATTGTAAGGTAACCAAACAAGTTGAGGTTATACAATAAGCTAAAGCACAACACATTGAATCATAGTTAAATGCTAAGTTTGCTGTGCAAGACTTAGTTAAGCATGTTGTGTGAACACAACCATTTAATTATCCGTTATGAGTTCTGTTCTCTTAGACTGATTCAGTAGTGCACTTATGTTCTTCTGAATCTTGTCAACCTCTTTTAAATTCCTGCTGGGCTTCTAGCTTCAGGGTTTCTTGGCAGTGAATTGTGGTAGTGTGGAACTATAGGTCTGAGAATAATCAACAAGCAGTCCTTTTGCATAGCTATCTACCCACTTGGACAGAGAATGGATAAAGCAACCTGATACACTCCAAATGTGTTAGACAACAACTTCCACAATCCTTGACAATGAGGCTGATAGGTGTTGAAGTCCAAAAACACATCTGGAGGGCACCCAGTTGTCTATCCTGGGTGCAGAGAATATGCTGCTGCTGCTGAAAAACAAAGCCAGAGTCTTAATAGCTATGGATGGACGACCAGGCGCCAGCACTTGCATCAGATGCTGGCATCATTGAATGGTTTTGTGCAACAGGCTGGGAACCCAAACATGGCTAAAATCTTGTGACTTTGTCAAGTCTCATGAAACGTTAGTATGCTTGAGACCTCATATTTCCTCTGAAAACTTTGAAGATCCTACGAGAACTGTGAAATCTCTCAAGGTTTGGGGAACCTCATGAGATTTGGGGCTCATTAAAAATAGGTTTGGCTTGGAGTCTTGGAAGATTATTTAGAGGTATTATGGACAGCATATTACAAGGCCTGGTGATGGTTCTCTCAGTGACTCATTATTCCTTCCCAGAGCTCTGTTTTTCTTTTGCAGTGGGTGAATGGGGTGCAAGTCACTGAGCATGAAGGAGGACACCTCCCCTTCGAAGTGGAGATCAGTGAAATCCTGCATAGGAGTCCCAAAGAACCCTGCAGGATCACCATTGCGGTCAATAATACCCTGACCCCACACACACTGCCTCCAGGAACGATTCAGTATATGAAAGATGAGTCCATGTAAGTTCAACAGCTCCCTGCAATTTCCTAATACAGTGTTTCTCAATCTTAGCAATTTTAAGACGTGTGGACTTCAACTCCCAGAATTGCTGGCTGGGGAATTCTGGGAGTTGAAGTCCACACGTCTTAAAGTTACCAAGACTGACACCTTGTTTTAGTTGAAGTCCACATCTCTGGGAGTTGAAGTCAACACATCTTAAAGTTGCCAAGACTGACACCTTGTCCCGGTTGCTGTCGTTAAGTGAGTCACTGCAGGTCTGTGAGGACCTCATGTGGTCACCATTTGCGACCTCCTGCTGGCTCCCCATTGACTTTGCTTGTTGGAAGCCAGCAAAGGTCGCAAATGATGACCACGTGACCGCAGGATGCTGTGACGTCATAATCACTAAGCACCTGGATGTCAATCACAGGACCATGGGGATGCTGCCATAGCTAGAACTCTGAAGACCAGTCGTAAGTACCACTCGTTCAGCACCATTGCAAGTTTGAGTGGTTGCTGACCGAGTGGTCATTAAGCAAGGACCACCTGTACTGCAGAAAAGTGGCCGGCACCAGAATAAAACTTCAATCAACCGAAAGCGAGTATGATTGCTTTCCAGCTTTTCAGCTAGCTTTGCATAACATGCTAAATCCAAGGAAACAAAACATGCAATGTTGAAACAAACCCTATTATGAGAACATGATTGTTTGGTTCTCACAAAATTCCAAGGTAATGGCTGGATTCCCAAATTCTTTGAATCCCCAATTACTCAACCTCACTTTGGCTTAATCCTTATATTTAATTATTTTCCATTGTATCCAACTGGAAAAATACTTTGGCAGTAATTTTAGGGGTTGCAGACGGCCCATGAGCCAAAGGTTGTGCCGTTCTGTGCTTGATGGGCAGATAGTTTCCAGTTGATTCCAACAAGCATTCCTGGTTCATAGGATTGTTCTTAGGTGGGGGAAATAGGGAACCTGCCACGGTACGTTTTTGCCATGGAATAGCTTGATGGCTGTAGGAGCAGGGGCGTTGGCCAGGGGGTGTCAGAAAAGTCAAGATAGCAGCCCAACCACATGGTTGAAACCCTGCCCCTTTTTATGCATGGCACATGACACATGTCAAAAAAGGGTGGGGCTTGATCAAGAGGCCATCATCTTGACTTTTTTGACTGCCACCCACTGCAGGTGCCCTCATATGGGAGAGACTTGATTCTTAGGCATTTTCCCTGGGTAATTCTTAGTTCTTAAATTAGGAATGAAGAATTCTTATTTTTCTTTAAATGAAGTTAAATAAATTCTTACTTAATTTAACTCTTTCCATCTCTTATTCCAAGATAGAGATTTACCCCTCCAAGATGTCTTGCCTCCTTTTCTCTCTCTCTCAATCCAGGTATCCAAAGGGCTACTTTGTTCAAAACACAAGATTTGATTTCTTCAACTATGCTGGAATTCACCGCCCGGTCTTGCTCTATGCCACACCCTTGGTCTACATTGACGATATCACAGTAACCACAGCCATGAAGGGAAACGTTGGTAAGGAGTTGAGGAACCAAAGCAGAACAAGGGAGGCTCCACTTTATGGATCCACATCCAATCCCTACTTTTTCCTGCAAATGCAAGCCCAAATCTAGCAGCAGGAGGTATATTCCAAAGTTCTCTGCTGTCACTGATAGAATTGGAACATTTTATGTGAGCAAGCTATGGACAGGTCCCAGACATGGAGCCTAATGCAGAGACAAAACCTGGAGTTGAATTGATTTCTATCCATATGTTTAAAAAGTCCACAATATTATAGATTTCTAAAGAAGGAACAAGTCCACAGTGAAGGACATTTAAGGCAAACATGAAAGAGCCAATAGTTTGAGCAGCGATGGCAACCCTTTTAATGCTGAAGGTTGCATTTTCATATTTTCAGCAGAGGGCAGACATGCATGAAGTGGCCAAGGCCACATCATGGAAATGGGCAGAGCTATGTTCTCCCAGTTGTTCTTGGTTTCAGGGGTTGTTTGGGGTACGTTAAAATAAGAAACAGCCTCAAATTTTCAGTAGCTGTGGTTAGAAGAAGCTCTGGAAATGTCAACATTGTGGCATAAGAGCAACATGTAACTTTGGAGCAAAGATTACCCACATGTGATCTAGAGGAGTGGTTCTCAACTGGGGTCCATATGGCCCCCTGAGGGGCCTAGGATATTTCAAGGGGGCCACAGGTGAAAAACATGTAACAGGGGCCTCGGCATATACTGAGGGGGCCACAGAAAAGCAAAGTGTATAGGTAGTCCTCAGTTGACCACTAATTCAGCAATCATTCAAAATTACTACAGTGCTGAACAAGTGGTACTTATAACTGGTCCTCGAAGTTCTGGCCGTCCCAGCACTCCTGCAGTCACATGATTGCATTCCAGGTTCCTGGCAACTGGCTCGCACTTAAGATGGTTGCAGCATCCCACGGTCACATGATCACCATTTGTGACCTTCCCTGTTGGCTTCCCACAAAGTCAATGGGGAAGCTGGCAGGAAAGGTCACACGGTGCTCCTTTAAGTCTCTCCCGCTCCCATTTATATGGTATTTAAAACAGGATAGTAATATAAATGTATTAGAAATATATACGTACTAGAATATTTGCATTAGATAAATATATATAGAATTGTAATTGTTTACTGTTATTTTAATTATTAAAAAATAAATTAAAGAAAAATCACTCCCGCTCCCACCACTTTTTCTCCCGAGGAGTCCGGCTATGGAGTATGAGATCTCCCAGGGATCTTGTACTCTGTAGTGCATGCCTGCCTGCAGCACTCCAACACCTATACTTCATAGGATGTGCCTGTCTGCCCAGCCGTGCTTGCGCAGTTCCATGGCAGCCAGTAGCACACTCTCCTGCACCTGGCAGTAGCTACTCCCAGCCTAGCCGCACTTGCACCCCACCACAGCAGCCACTTACCTGCCCAATGGCCTGTTTGTGAGCCACCCAGGACTTGCGACTTCCTATCGGCTCCCCCGTTGACTTTGCTTGTGGGAAGCCAGCAGGAAATTGCAAGGAGGTCCTCGCTTAACAACCTACAATCCTCACTTAACAACAGCAATGGGGACTGCCAGGATTGCCGTCACTAAGCGATGCGGTCATGTGATATCGTGCTTTACAACTGCATTGTGTGGTGATGGAAATTCCAGTCCCAATTATGGTCATTAAGCGAAGAATACCTGTATTATACTGCAAATACTGTCTTGTGGATGCCAGTTCACTGCCCCACACCAGTTATTGCCCCATGTCCATATCTGGTCAAGGGACCTGGCCAAGGGGGCCACAGAAGAAAAAAATGGTCAGAAATGGTCATGGGCGAAAAAAGGTTGAGAAACACTGTTCTAGAGTAAAAGTCTACAGCAAAGGTTTCTAAACTTTCTCAGTTCATAGCACCCTTAATGTCTTAGTAATTTTTTCCTGGCACCCCTAGTTTGCATGGTGTCTAACAGATGTTGAGTATCGCTGTGTTTCCCTTGAAAATTTAAAATATCCCATGGTGCCCCGTGAGTTTTCTGTGGCACCCTGGGGTGCCACAGTGCAGTTTGCGAATCATTGACCTAGAATATAAGCAAGGTGCTGTGGATTTTAAGACTGAGAAAATAAGAGTAATCTTAATCTGATGCATAAATGCTGATAATAAAGATGCCAGGTGGACTTCTCCAGGGAGCAGCCCACTGCAAAGGAGAGGCTGCAAAGAAGAGGTCCTTAATCCTGTCTAACTTCTGATGGCAACAGAACCTGAAGAAGGAACGCTATTGATCTTAATTGTCTGGCAGGCACATTTGAGAAATATAGTTCTTAAGAACTACCAGTGTCAAACCATGCAGGGCTTTGGGGAGACAGATGTAGCTGTCTCTCTGCTTTCTTTGTGGCAGAAATGTTAAAATGTGGTCCAGAAAATACTGTTTGAGGGCTGTGCCATTTACCTAATTATATCCCCAATTCATCAGGCCGCACGTTTTAACTTATTTAATACTTACAAAACTGCTCATGGTAAGCACCGTATTAAAAAATGCATCTAGGGAAGCAATTATTGACAGAATCTTGGTGAAATGACTTTAGCTAGACTTGGCTAAAGGGAGATTGGATATTTGGTGGTTCAATGTCTGCCATTGTCGTTGCATGTTTAGTGAAAAAAGCCAGAACGTTAAACCACAATATGGTGTATTTCTTTTGGGCCTAGCATATGATGTGACTGCACAGAAGTGTTGTATTAATCTGGGATTTGTGGGTATGCAGTCATAGCAGTGGAGAACTTGCAGTGGGAATTGAACTGAGAAGTGTCTGGTTGAAGCCCAGTGTCTTAACCACCATTTTATCTCTCCTCCTGTGACTCAGGCCTAGTTCGTTATTGGGTGTCTGTACGAGGAGGCTCAGACTACAGCTTATCCCTGACTTTGTATGACAGTGACCATGTTGCTGTAGCAGCAGGAAATGGGTCGGCTGGTGAACTGAAAGTGCTGGATCCTGTTCTCTGGTGGCCATATTTGATGCATGAACGTCCTGGGTACCTCTACTCCTTGAAGGTACCTTGCTTGTCTCTTCCCAGGACTCTTAGGTCTGCCTACTCTCTGGTTGAGATTTGAACTCCAGCTCCTGTAAATAAAAGAATCCAAACAGATTGGCTAACACAGAGTTATGGTCCACTAAATAACTTCCACAAAAGACTTATGAACAGGGGTGTCTGCAGGGTATGTCAAAACATCAAGATGGCGTCCATGATGGTGCAATCAAAGCTCCATGCTTTTTTCATGTGGGACACAATAGAAAAACAGGTGGGGTTTTGATCACACCATTGTGGCCACCATCCTGACTTTTTTGACCAGATGCTGCACATACCCCTGCTTATAAACAAGCATTATACCCTAAAGGTCTATTTGAAGGCCATACGTATAGGAAAAAGACTCCTCACACTTCTCAAATAATTTGATCTGGTTCATACACTGTTCTAAGCTACGGTTTTGGCATAGCATTTTATGGGAACCTAACTATTGTGGTTTATTTAATAAACCATGATTTAAAAAACCATGGCAGAGCATAATGTATGAACTCAGCCATTGCAGTTAATAAATCCAGTGTCATGGAATTTTTGCCAAAGACAGGAGCAGAAGGCTGAGGAGAAGAACCAGGTTTATTGTAATGACCGTTGCATGCCTGCTTTCAAGAAAGAGGGACTCTGAACAATAGAAAAGCATAGAATTTATACACTTTTGAGGTTGAGAGACAGGAAATCTGAGGGATCTGATTGGAGGATAGGTTTGGATAGGTGCTAAATGGGGAATAAATGGTTTTTCTTTTGTGAGATAAGAACCAAAAACCCTTAAGCAGACA